AAAAATTTTAACAATTTAGACTGTATGAAAGCTCCATTGGTGTGATCCCTATATCCCATCTTATGCACAATTCTTATGTCTCTTTTTTGTAATATATACAATGGTTGAAGTGAGCTTTTGTATGTATTTCCCCAGTTTTCAATGCCATACTCTAAGTATGGTAAAATCAATGAGGAATACAAAATGCGTAGTGCTTTCCCATCCAAAATATATCTAACCCTTGCCAATATCAATATGTTTTTTGCTATTTTGTGCTGAACATATCTGATATGAGATTTCCAGGAGAATTTGTCATCAACTTCTTGAACGTGGCCTTCTCATTAGAGCTTAGTCAGACATTTCAGTGACTGCAAACAAACCTGTATTAAACGAACAGCATATGAAATGATCCAAGACGCTGTCCTCACGTTTTCTGCTGTCTAGAGCAGAGAGGAGGAAGCTTTGATGATGAGTGCTGGTTAAGTGGGACACTGAGCTGGGGGCAGTTTCACCATTATAAATAATCTGTTCCATGCTCAGGGGTGTAGGCAGAATTCAGAGCACAGCTGGTGCAGGGGAATTTTTCTCAGAAGTGTTCTCCGAGCTGTGATTTGGGTGCAGAGCAAATCTGGCCAGTGCTCAGTACGAAGGACACGGGGCACGAGCTGGAGGTGGACACAGAGCCTGCTAATGTCCAAACAAAGAAATATGGAATGTGGTATTGTCCTCATGTGAGCTCAGCAGCTTTGAAATCAGTCCTATACTTTCAGTGGTCAGTTCATTAGGAACACCTGTCTCAGTCGGTCTGATCCAACAGTGACGTGTCTTTACTGTGTTTGAGCTACATCCTGATGAAAACCACCATTAGTGAAGTATCGTTTGTCTTGAATTACTGTCCGACCAATGACGATGGCAGTGTGATTCCACGTGCCAGCAGTAGTTTTTCAGGGTCACGCTGTCATGGAACAAGGTGACAGTGGTGCGGTGGGTAGAGCAGTCGTCTCCCAATGAGAAGGTTAAAGGTTCAAATCTCGGTGCCGGCAGTCCATGTGTTGAAGTGTCCTTGGGTAAGACACTGAACCCCCCCTGTTGCCCCCAATGGTTAGAGCCATCGGTTGAGGTGGTGCCACAGACGGCTGCCTCGGTTCTGTACCGGAAACAAATTCCTTGTGTGTAACATACTTGGCCGATAAAGGTGATTATCCTTTTACGGTAGGTGGAATGGCGTTACAGGGACAGTGAGCTGCCTTGGTGGAGGTTTGTACTCTGTCTGGTTGGACATGGGATCAAATACCTTCACTTCATCTCTGAAACAGTCCAATTATTGGAAGTGCACAGGGGTGGTCTCAGTTTGTGGTTGATTATGTGTGTAAAGGTGAAACAGTCCAGCTGGTGCTGACCTGATCAGAGGGGCCTTCCTCGACACTGCATCTATCAGGAGGGACTGAGGCGGCTGAACAGACAGATGGGTGTAGATGGAGGGGGAAACAATAACAGAGAACAGAGCCAAGGAGACAAAATTAAACAGCAACACACACCCACAATAAAATCAAAATGGTGGAGAGCAACGAGGGCTGCGCAGGGGAATTAGCAGCAGGACATGTGACTCCTCAGGACTCCAGTCAAAGGACAGTGTCCCGGCCAGCCACGTGTCCTCTCTCCTGCCTCTGCAGCCCACCACCCTACCCCAGGAGATAACGCACACACACCTGTGCATGTGAGTGCACAGAGGCGAACCGGGCACAGCCGTCTGGATCGTGCCTGGTTTTGCAGTTCTGCCTTGCAAACCACAAATTCACACTGGTGCAGCAGCGACAGAGGAGACGGAGCAGCCCGCTGTCGGGCCAGAGGCAGAACTCTGCCATAACCTACATATTATTCAGCTGGCCAGCGTGGAGCGCTGACAAAAACAGACACTGGCCATACCTGCTGTGCCACCATCCACCCACATCCCGTGCACTAACCGTACACACAAGATCAATACACCTGGGTTCAGTGACCGTATCTCTCCCTGCTATTAATAGAACAAAGGAGCAGAGTAAAGCCACGATAGGATTTACCAGGCGCTGGGTAACGAGGGCTTCTGTTTGGGGAATACCTCCGCAAAACCCAGAAAACCAGCGAGAGACACTTCCCTGCCACAACACACACGGACCCACAGGCACCGCTCAGAGGCCACCTCACATCCTCTGAGAACAGCTGTGTCCTCCAGTGACTGTTCTGTCTGCCCAAACAGCAGCAGAGGAGAGGAAACCTGGCATTCATCCCTCCCTCCTTACCTCAGATGCCTCGTTGCTGAGCTGACGGTTGCCGTGGCACCAGATTCCTATGCGGTGGCCGTGTCTGAACAGATGATGGTGAAGTGCTGTGAAAATCGCCTTCCACCCAGCTGTCTCAAACCTCCCTCCTCTGCCTCCTTCTCTCCTCTCCCGTCCTGGTCCACAGTGAAGCGACAGAGAGCAGACGAAGGGACGGCAGCAGGCGCTCCAGATCTTCCACACACACTCAGCCTCCTCTTAATTAGCTTGTTCCAACAACCAGCGATGGCTAATGAATGTAGCGGCTGAAATCACCTCCCGTGCTGCGTTCGATGTGATGAGGAGCTGCAGAGCAGAGGGAGAGAGAGCAGGAACATGTGTGTGAGGGGGTGAGAGAGTATCCACATGTCAGAGAAACAGTGATGGAGAGAGGGAGGGAGGGCATGCATTATGTGTGTCAGCTTGTTCGTATTCAGAGCTTGTTTTTGCTCCCCTTCCCTTCACCCTTCCTTCACTCATGAACAGACATAGAGGACCCAAACATGAGAGGAAGGAGGGATGCTGCGCACTAAGCAGCTCCGGCTGAGGCTTGATGATACATCACAGGTCAGAGAGCGGGGGGTTGGGTGTGCGGGGAGCAGCTAGATCTCCAGGACATATGTGAGGGATCATCTTCTCTCTGGAAAAAAATACTCTCAGCCTCCACTCATATCACCCCCCCACCCATGAACAGACCTTAGCCCTCCTTCATCCCTCAGCCCATCACATCAGAGCCACAAAGACGACAGAGGACTGTAGACAGAATTAGTGGTGCACGATGATGATGAGCGTGCACTGTTCTGTTTGGCGAACGTCAGCATACACAGCACAAGTGATTTCATCTTTTAGAAATCTGAGTAGTTTACTGATTTATCCTGAGTACTTTGATCTACGTATTTCTAGCATGACGTGACACAGTAGGCGTTACTGCTGAATTATTAGCAGTGCGACATTAAAGACGTCTCTTATAAAGTGGGTTTCCACTTTAGTGTGGCATACATTTGAGCCCAATTTCCAGAAAATCTGTAAAAGAAAATGTGAATGAAAAGCTGTTTTCATTCACTACTGTTATGTTAATCTGAGGGGTTGGCTCATCAAGAGAAAACAGCTGCTGGAGCTCATTTTCCATTAAACTACTGAAGAAACAAAGGACACAACAAAATGACGTAGGTAAAAGAGCTCCAGTCAAATCTAAACTGTCAAACAAGTAGAAAACCCGACTGTTCTAAAAACCTAATCCATGTTTTCCTTCTTTTAGCTGCTAGATGAGTTAAGATAGTGCAAAGGTCCAAGTTAAAGGTGCCTAATTAAAACTACTTGGTCAGACCTGATCACTTTTTGCAAGAAGCTTTGCACAATAATAAATGATCTGATCTGGCTCATCACCAGCGCCCTGCACTGCTTTCAGAGCGCACACACATTACCAGGACGATGAGTCCTGCAGCTCCCAGGTGCTGGATGAACCACGAGGCTAATGTTAGCATGTCTATTAGCCCAGCTGCCCACCCCTCCTCAATATACTATTACCTCAGAGATGTGAATAACCTCAATCCATCCTTATGTGCACACAGCTTCTGACCTATATACTAAGGCAAAGATCACAATAATGGTCAGTGACTTGGTGAAAGGCTTGAGGAAAAACTACCTCACCCACTAAACTCTCTAGTTCAGCCTTTTCCCTAAATAATACGTCAGCATCATCCCCTTGTTTATAATACCACAATATATCAGATCATAACCACTGTATCGTGGTACGTATCGTATGGCCAGATTCTTGCCAATACACAACCCTAGTGTGCAGCTGAGAGAGGAGTCAACACACAAACTCAGAATAAAATGCTTTAAAGTACAACTGACAGTATCTGTTAATACTGTGGGATACTTTGAGCACTTAGTCCATTGCTTTCATTTTACTATCTAAACTCTTTATGTAGTAGCTTTCTGCGTTTGCTGCTAGCTCATTTTCACACACTCGTTTGAAACTGACAAATGCTGCTGGCCTGGGGTTTTGCCACAGTTAGTAGGGCTAACTGTGTCACCTGGTTTCTAGTTCTATAAGCTAAGCTAATCAGCTACTTATTGATCGTACAGACAAAGCAGTATCAATCCTCAAACTAAATGATCTTCAGAGTAAGAACTAAAATCTCCTCTACACTACAGCCACCCAGCAGCAGGCCACACAACCTCAACATCCCATTTCAATCCCATCACATAAACACACATCACCCCCCCCACCCCGTATCACCACGCCCAGGGCTCCAGCTGTGGTCTACAGGGGCAGTTCATTAATCAGCAGCACAACAAAGGAGCACATTCCTACACAAGCCTTTGTCTGCTCCTTCCACTGGATCCTGGGCTCACTGTGTCATCGGAATGAACAATAATGTGGTGACAGCACTTTCACAGGCTGGGTCCATATGTGAATAATTAACAAAACAGCAAACATCAAATCTGACCAATTCTGAAGGTATACCAGCATGACCGACCACTGTCAGTGCAAACTCAGCTTAAATAGAGCTGGACAGGCTCAGGTGGTTTGTACATATGCAAACAATCAGTGTGAGCTAAGTGTCTAACCACAGACGACCTGGGGCGGTCCTGTTCAAATCAACTGTCTCTTAATCAAAGGGCTGTGATTTGACAGCCTGTCTTCCACTCACACAGGTTTCCAAAACCTCTGTTTTCATTTATCCCATGTACGATACATGCTCTTAACTCTAACGCAGGAAAAGATGCCTGTTGGCTCCTCACACAGCTCAGCACTGTTTGTCCTCACCCCTGACTGAACTGTTTAGTAGTTCCACTGTTTGGCTCTTGCCAGTCATGAGGAAGGTCTTGCCGTCTAGGTAGCTGCCATCACACACAGGAAATCAGCGTAGCAGCATGTGGGCGAGGTTCTGCAAACACCAAGGGGGGCTACAGTCAGTGGAAAATAAATTCCATCTCATGTGATGTGATCTCCTGAGCTGCATTCTCACCCCTCCCCAGGATCCAGTGGTCCCTTGGTCGTGCAGGCTGGCTATAGGCCCCTCAGGCTCCAAGGGAAATGATGCATGTTATTGTGAACACACCAGATGGGTCCTGAAGCAGAGACCGTGGAGGCAAAGCAATCTTTTCATAATGGCATGTAAATGGAGGCGGCTCCAGGCTGGTGGCAGTGACAGGGAGGCTCCCCGCAGTGGACAGGTTGTAAACCTGCATGGAAATAAATGCCATTTGTCAAATTAGTGTGCCAACATGACAGCAGTTTCAATCCTTATTTGGACCACATGACTGCGTTCACACCCACAAACTGACTGGACTCTGTCCTTCCACTCTGCAGAGCTTCCCACTTCTCTGTAATGTTCTGGACCATTACTTAAGACTTTAATTTGTAAGAGTATATTTGTACATTGTGTACACCACACTACTACACTGGGGTACGTCTTCCTTCCTGCTGGTGAATTTTCTTTCTGGAATATTTTATTGATAAGGACCAGGGGCCCCCACACCCACTCTCTGTGTTTCTGTTTGCTGGAGCAGTGTGCAGGCATCTGAGAGCGAGGCAGTGAGATCTGCAGCCTGCTGAGGGTCCGTGGCGTTCAAAACGTCCAGATCAGTGTCCACAATGGCTGAGCCTCACTGTAACACACCCACATGCTGAAGCAGAGCACCTCATGAGGGAGGACACACAGCAGTGGGGGAGGAGGACAAAGCGAGGATGGGTGGGAGAAGGAGAGAGATGAGGGGACTGGCTCTTTATGCTCCATCAGCACAGGGTCTTTAAAAGGCTTCTGTAGTGTTGGGACTATGGCTGTCAGACCTGGTGACCTGGAGGGGGATGGGTGCTGGAGACCACCATGAAATCCTCTGAATGTGATGCAGGACCTGAGTGATCCGACATGAATGGCCCACGGCTCGTAACTGTGTAATGATGATGAGTCACAGCTCGGGAAGCTCGCCCAAGTGCATCGTGGTGGAACAGCGAAGCACAGTGAGCAGCAGGGCGGTAGGAATGTTGTAGAACATCATTTCATGCTGAAACCATCTTCTGCCTCGCTTCTTGTTCATAAATCTTACATCCCACTATGTTCACATTACAGATGATGTGGCCCAAATCCGGTCTGTTCCTCCATCTGACTCAGATCCGGTCTGATTCATGTCACTTGTATATGACCCTGACCCTAGACCTGGTTCATACCCGGATGGTAACTGCGCTAGCATGGCCACATGCTCAACACAATAGTGCTAACACGCAGGCGGTTCATGACAATCTGTCGCAGTGCTTGTGGCCTGTTGTTGGCAGCGGTGACCGTCTGGATCTCTCTGGCTAGCTGCTCCTTTTCTGTCACTGCTTCCTCCGGTGGTTTTGGTGACAACAGCGGTGTTGCCGTTAACCTGTGTACTTGTGTTTATTCATGTATGTGTTTGTATTAATTGTCACTTTTAATCGTTGTATTCTTCTGTATGTATTTTTGTTGACTGCCGTCTGAGCCAACATTACAGCTGTACTCCAGTCACTGCCACCAGGGCCGACTGACAGACCAGCCTGTTGCCAGCCAAGCCATGGTATGGCAAGTTAATCAGCCGGTGACTGGTTATGACTGGTTTCTGTGCAGGTAGGCAGCGGGCCACCATCTTTGTTCTGATGGACTCAGAGTCACCACTTGGGACATGAGTGTGAAAAATCTGTTTTCGTGCAGTAGAATGAATATTTTCTTTGTGCACGTGGCTAGAAGAGCCTCTGGGGATTTGGAAAATACTTCAGAACAATGATAAGTGGTTTTAAAGGACCTATGAGTTTAGAGAACGATGGCAACCGCTGAACAAATGTCTGCCGACGCATGAGGGCCGCAAACTGGGGTAATGAGGTCAGACAGCAGCAACATCAAAATAAGGTTTATTCATCTGGGAAATGTGTGTTCTTCTGTCTGTTGGTCATCATGTGCTCAGTTTGTCTGTGCTCATTTGATCCGGTCTTGCTCAACAAGCTTTGGAAAAGAAATATATAATCCCTCTCGGTGCCTCAGATCAGCTGATCAGCTGCTTTGTCCACTTTTAAAATGTATTTGAAAACTCATCTGTACCTTTTGGCATTTGATCCGGTATGAGGCTTTGTTTTGTTGAGGTTTTATGATGGGTGGTTGTTTAATTGTAATTTAGTTTTATTGTTGTGTTTTGTGTTAAGCACTTTGGTCAGCTGTTGCTGTTGCTGTGTTAAATGTGCTGTATAAATAAAGTTGATGATGATGATGAAGAAAGACACTTTCGGCTTTTCCCGTTTAGGGGTCGTCACAGCGAATTGTCACACTGACGACTCGCATGTTGACATTTGGCACATGGTTTACGCCGACTACCCTTCCTGACGCAACCCTGATTCGAACTCGGGCCCTTGACCACTAACCTACCAGGGACGGAAACAGCTGCAATTTAATTGGAGCTAGTGGAAGTGAACGTTTGTCCACGATGCTGATGAGCTACACTGCCACCTCTGTTGTCCAGCCTGCTGTGCTCTGAGGACA